CTCCTGCCACGGCAGCTGGCATCATGGGTGGGGAAAGTATGCATCTGTCACTCAGGCAGTGGGGCAGGAGGGGTGGCTCCCAGGGTAGATGTGGACAAGAGAACCAGCATCAGGAACATTCTTAGAACTTCAGCAAACCCTGGGAGCCTTGCCACATTCCCACATCCTGAACCAACCTTAGGACAAACCCCAGGGTTAGTCAGTATTGAATAAAGAGACTCTCCAAAGCCAGGTGTCTCATGCCTATAATCCTAGGCTGAGATCTGAGGATTGTGGTTCAAAGCCAGCCCAGGCAGGAAAGCCCATGATACTTTTAGCTCCAATGACCCACCAGAAAACCAGAAGTGGAGCTGTGGCTGCAAGTGGTAGAGTGCTAGCCTTGAGCAAAAGCACTTAGGAACAGCTCCGAGTTCAAGCCCTGTGATTAACAACAACATAAAGACTCTCCATAAGAGGAAATACTAGTTTAAACTAAATGCAACCATGTTTGGTTTGGTTTTATCTGTAGTACTTCCTCCAGACTTTTATAGTATGTTAACATGGAACCAACCGGTCTTTTTACACTCTGTGAATCTCTCCAGAACTTCCTTGTTAACAAAAAACAACAACAACAAAAAGACAAAAACAAAACCAAACGAAAACCCCAAGGCATTATATTTCCAAATATAGTCTGCAGATTACCCAGGAACTTATCACTTATCCTCAAGAAGATGAATATAAAAACTGGAAGTAATTATATGGCGTCATACACCTGTAATCTCAGCACTTAGGAAACTGAGGCAGAAAATCACAAGTTTGAGGCCAGCTTGTGTTCCATAGTGAGACCCTGTCTCAACAAATTTTTAAAAATTTACTTTAAATTTTTTTAAATTACTGTAAGCCTTACCTACACAGGAGACTGAGGTCTGAGAATCACCACCCTATAGCCAGGAGGGTCTATAAGACTCTTATCTCCAATTAACTAGCAAAAAGCCCGAAGTTGAGCTGTGGCTCAAGGGGTAGAGCTATGCCAGCCTTGAGCAGAAAAGCTCAGAAAGAGAGAGCATCCTAGCCCTGAGTTCAGCTCCAGCACCACACACACACATACACAAAGGGTGATTAGCCAATCAAAAGTCCATTTTAAGGAGTTGAGGTGAGTGGTTGGGTGCAAATCAACTGCATGGAAGGTGCCTGGGGTTTGGGGTTTTATCCAGTAGAATGGCTCTCCCAGGCAAACATACCATGTGGAGTTACCTATTCCAAGTCCCAGCTTCTCATTTCTAAATCTATAAGCTGAGACTGGAGCAAGTGATTTCTAAAGACTCTGCCAGTCTTTTACATTGTAAGCCTATGCTTCTGACTCAAAATGCTTCACAGACTAGAAACGCCTCTCAATCTTAAAACCCAGTATTACTGGAAATCCTCAGAGCCTGCGGCCCTTATGAGCACTTAGCTTCCTTCAGGATCTCACTCAGCCCTGGTGCTGAGTACACCCAAGCATTCCGGCCTCTCATTTCCCTTTGAGACATGAGGCCTTCGGGGTAGCGAGCAGGTTGGACTTGTTAGCGCAGAATGCTTCTGGCTGGGAAGGGAGCCAGCTGCTTGTCCAAGCAAACGAGGGTCCACCCCAGCTTCAGGAAGGGGAGGAATTGGGAAAATCTTACCCAGCACCAAGGTCTGCTGAGCAACACCGGCAGTAACCCAGAGGAAATGGGAGTTTTAAAAGAAATATATACATATATACACATATATACATATATATAATTGTCACCTGGGTATTTATTGTAACAATGCAGGCATTCTTTCAAATAGTTCTATAATAACTGGCAGAACTTTCTTCTTTTTTTTTTTTTGTTTCACAATGTTTTTAAGGGCTGGCTTGGTTTCTGGGCAAATTTAAAAGTCGTACAAATCCAAAGGAGGCAGAAAAGTATGGGATTAAATAACACTGATTACCAAATCAAGAGCATGATAACTTTGTGAAGCCTATAATCAAATCCTAAAAGATAAAGTCCCATGGTCTGGGGACGTGGCTCAGGAGGTAAAGTACCAAGCTAGCCATTACAAGACTCTGAATTTAAACCAATAACACACACACACACACGATAAAGTTCCTCGAAACGTATTTTGTGCATAACTATGACAAAGGATGTATATACCCCCATAGTTACTTTAAGATCCCTCCTAATTGAGTTTTGGATGTGGACATTCATTCACTCTTTTCACAAATTTCAGACTTTTGTGACCTAATCTCTGCCAATTTATCCAGCCCCTCTTCTCCTATCTCTCAGGTTCCTTGAATCTTATTCTTTTCTAATGTCAAACTACTTGCTTGTGATGTATTTGTACATACTAATCTGTCTTTGTTGACCATCTGATATTTATTTGCCTTTCACATTCATGAAGTATTCCCTGATCCCTGGAGCCAGAGTAATTATTCCCTTCGTACCTGCAACACGTTATGAGGGCCCTGGTTGCATTATGCTGTCATTATTGTCTATCGTCTGCCTCTGCTCTAGGCTGAGTCCCTTGAGGGCAGGGCCTGTGTCTTAATTCTCTCTGTCCCTAAATGCTAGGCACACAATACAGGCTCCACGCACATTTGCTAGATAAGCAAATGCTTCACGTTCTCTGAGCCCAACACCAGCAGTGTAGAGCGCCCTCTGGTGGAGCCTAAAGAAAGCAGAAAGATGAAGACCTAAATAGCCCCAGCTTTCACTTGGTTTGTTTTTGTAGCTAATACTTTTCTAAGACTGAGATGTCTACACTGAAGGAAAGCATCCCACCTGACACTGTTTGAAGCCTAGGAACCACCACTAAAGGAAGGGAGCAAATCGAATCTATAATACAACAAATGTCCAAATTAAACTGACAGTGTATTATCGATCATACGTAGCATATTATGAATTCAGTAATAACTTCCATATAATAATAAAATAAATAACTTTTATTTATGTGTTATAAACTTGAATTCTTAACTGAATGACCAAGAATGGTACTGTGTTGCGATCTGAAGCCTAGAATTTGGAACTTGCTCATTCATTATTTAACTTGGGTAGTGCCAGTACTAGGGTTTGAACTCAGGTCTGTACACGCTACACTCAGCTCTTTCACCTAGCACTAATGCTTTATCACTTGAGCCATGCCTCCAGTCTAGCCTTTTGCCAATTAGTTGATTGGAAATTGAGTCGTTTGGATTTGTCTGCCTGGGCTGGCTCCAATTAGCCAGCAAAAAGCTGAGAACAGGAGGTGGCAAATGTGCTAAAATGCCAGCCTTGAGCAAAAAGTCTAAAAACGCTAAGAGACAGCACTCAGGCCCTGAGTTCAAGCCCCAGAAAGAGAAGAGAAAGGAAAGGGGAGGGGAGGGGAGGGGAGGGGAGAGAAG